TTCACTAAGCTTTTGTAGGCGTCTCGGCTGGTGGTTTGTGAGTATCCTTTCGTATGGCGTCTCGATGTTGTTCTTGGCTTGATCTGGAATTTAGTCTGCGTTGCGAGGATAGTGTCGCGACGCTCAGCGTCGTATTGTGGCATTATGTGTAGGGGAAGCAACGCGTATCGTCGGGCTTCTCGTCGTGGGGTGAATTCGAATATGTCACATATGTCTTCCCGAAGGTCACGTGTAGTCCAATGTGAAGAATTACTCCTAAAAATTAGATCTTCACCGAGATCTCGAACCCGCGACATTTTTCTGGTTTATCATCTTATTTCGAGTAATCTGGTCTCCGAAACGAACAAATCTTGCCATGGCGGTGTTCTTATCTTGTGCTTAGTTTTGGAGACTCGAACTCAGAAAAGCTTACGGTGTTGTTCTTATAATGCCCTTTTAGAAACAAACAATTTGATCTTGGCACCGTTATTCTGTAGTTTTTATTATTAGAATTTTAGAAGTCATCTTTATTGGGAATCGAACCCAGGATAATTTTTCGGAGTTCTGAGTGTTGTTTCTCCAATCTCTTCGAAACGAGGAGCTTTGGTCCAGGGACTGTTTTCTATTGTTCTTAGTTTTCGAGCTACGGGAAACTGCCTCAGCGGGAATAATTTTCCTGAGATTTGACTCTCATGTGGTCTCTTCCTGCTCTCAAAAAATTAACATCCCAAGTTTGGTGCAAATCTATACATACGTTTTTGAGCTAACAAACACAAAACCACAATTTCAAGGTTGTATGTATGGTTATTGAGACGAGCTTCGTTTTCAGAGGATTAAAACGTGACTTTATTGTATTTTAAGTTCAAGGTTTTTGCAGATTCGATGGATTGTTGTTATGTGGTGGAGCCAGTTAACAATTTACCGTCCTCTTTTCGTAGATAATACAGCAGTGGTGGCGTGACGTCATGTAATGATTCTCCGTGTTCGCTTCAGTCAGCTTATTTACAGTACACTGGCCTCTTTGCTAAACTCTGTTTTGGTGTCGCTGACCTCACGACCATTCTGAGGGCAGGGCAGTGAGTCTTATGGTATCTGAGGACGTCATGAATCAAGATTATGATATTTTTTAATTAGCCATTTTGTTGAATCTCGCAAATAATACGAATTATTTTTTTTAGAATAGTTGTTGCAGAGAAATGGACATAATTTCTTGAAGTCTGAAGGTTTCTGACAATGGCACATATCGTAGGAAAATAAGAGTTGGGGTATTTTGTGTTCTGCCGACTCTCACCGCCGTTAAAACGTCGCATATCTTTGCAGACAGAAACATCTGCTGCATAAATAAATATCAGTGACAAGTTGGAGGGAAATAAATAGAATTTTATCCCAAAGAATTATGAATAATGATCGACGGGAAAATATAAGTTATAGAAAAACCAATAAAGGAATGGATTCACGGAAGAAAATTTTAACTGGAGTATTGAGATTCCGTATGCAGTCAGATGTGAAAACTTTATTTATAATTTATAAATATGGTCGTCGTTAATCCCAACCACAGACTCGCTTCAAGAGACTATTTATCTGTTGTAACTGAGGAAAACTCTGATGGCTTAGTCGGTGTGTATGGTTCTGCAGACAATTAACAGGCGATGGGCAATGATCAACTGTGCAGATATATTTATTAGAACTTATAGAAAATTATGAAGACACGCTACAGTTGCCCGTTAATAATTACGGTTCAATCTAAAGTAGTACTTAAATACAGATTTTTATTTGAAAGTGTAACACAGCGGTATATAAAATTACATCTGTCAATTACGAAAGCTCCGAAGCGTTTACACTTAAACATATATTTTACTACGTTGTATAGCAGTAAATATGCATAGGCTGTGGATGACTGAGCAGTCTTTAGTTTGAGCATTGTTTCCACAAAACACAAAAATTAAAATTGTCTAATGGTGCTTTAACAAAAAAATTGAATGTCTCTCTTTATTTCGTTGAAGAATATACGATTTTGTTACTGAAGTGTCAAATACGATCTGACAACGAGGTTATGTATAATAACTGTACATAATATCCCCTATTTAATAGATTTATCATGGCAGTGGTTATAACAACAAAACACTTTCGCGAATATTGTCATATAAGGTCCAAAATCCCTTGATAACAAATGATGAACAATCAGTTGCTATTTTCTGCCTTTATGGATGAGCAAATCTAGTGAAGACCCATATATTGGGTTCAACTTCTATCGTGTCTGGTCGAGTAAGTAGGCAAAGATGAAAAACCGAAGTCTGTACCACTGAAGGAAATCATTAGCAATTTCCATCTGTGTTTCGATTGCATGAGATTTATAATGCCTTGTGATCTTGCTGCTGGTTGCCAAGCGTTTCGGAGGACGAATCCTATGCATTTCAGCGAAATTCTGATAATCATTTAGAACGGGGTTCGTCAGCCTGCGGGCCGCGACTGCATGTGGCCCTCGCAGCCTTTCTGTTCAGACCATCACATGATTTTTGGAGAACTTTCTTTCGTGAACTCAAGTATGTTCTTTTGTTTTATATAATTTAGTATGGCAGGGGCTTATTAAGAGATTTTTGTTAACTCGTATGGAGAAATGCAGCTATTGTTTTTAAGTGAATACCACCTGTGCTCTTGAAGTTAAACGAATAAATATTAATATTTATTTCTGTGGTCGACAAAGATATGAATAAGCAATGCCACTCGCAGTAATGAAAAGGTTGCCATTCTCTGATCTAGAAGCCCACACGACGTCATAAAACATAAAATTAAAATCGACATCTTTAAAGCCGTAAGAACCTTAAATCTCAGATTCACTAAGTTTGAATTTGGACCTGAACAAAACCCAGTTACAAGTAAGCTGATCAGAAAAATACGGTCCTGCAGCGATTGAGTAAAAACGTCGAAGATCTTTTGCGTTTATGCTCTCTGGTTAAATTATCTGAACTTGGAATAGGGCAATGAAAAACTGAGATGGGTTACCTGTCTTGTAGGTTTCATGCGTGACTTCTAGCTGGTGTCTGGATAATTTTCGTTCCACGGACTGAATGCTTCGAATGTTGCACCTTTATTGAGATGTATCGTTTCTCCACGACCTTGCCACGTGTTGGGCCAGCCGCTAGTCTTTGTGGACACGGCGCTCCACATACTGTCCAAGGTCCCTTCCCTCTTCCAAGTGCAACAAGTAACAAAGTCCGCTCGATGTTTATCCGTTTGTCCTCCTTGAAGTGTTTTCGTCCGTTTCTGAAGACGTGTCCATCCGACAGAATAGCCCCACCTTCCACACAGCCTTCTGTGCGCTAACTCTTCAAAAGCCCAACGGTAATTATATGTCCCACCTGTTTTAATATTCGGTAACGGCTTTTCCCCCCACATAATATAGCCTGTTTCTTGGTTTCTTATGATTCTATGAATAAACAGCGATCATTTCATTAAGCAGCGTTAACCAGTCTCGAATCAAATTTCAACAAAACAGCGTAAGTGCCAGATTTTTCATTATCTTCTGCCCTCAGTTATTCATCCTGTCGTCTCATTGCACACTTTGGGACCTCAACAGTCGACGTAGCATCGTTAAATAAGGCGTACGTGGTAGTTATTTGTGAGAATGCTGATGAAACCTGTAAACGCGTCTCGGGCGACAACGCGGTAGGTAAACAACACGTGTTATGCTCTGTGGTCAGATTTATGACGTCACTGTGTGGCGGGGGGTGGGGTGGAGCACCCTTTTGGCCTGCACAGAGCATCGCCGTTTATGGGGGGAATGGCAATGTTGGTACTGACAGGATGTCTTCACTTCATGCATTAGAAGTGGTTCATAAATTCGAAATTATGCTAAAACTTACGACATTTTAATATACAGTAAAAGAAGTGTCACTTTCCTGTATATGTAGTGATAAATGGACTTATATGGAAGAAATGTGCACATTTTAATATCATGCCGTCATCGTATGTAATATATAGATGGTCCCGTTTGAATGATCGTTTTTAATGTTTTTGCTAGATTGGGACACCGACTTGTTTAAAATAATGATTTTGCAAAGAGTCACAGAGACCAGAGCATGTCGTTAATTTCTGATGCATTACAGAGTAGAGTAAGCTGTGTGTAACAATGTTCATAACCCTTACACCAACTTATAAACACACAAATAACGCGAAAATTATAAATAATATCCAATAACGACAGTGGTATTAACTTCACCCTTTCGTTTTTACCTGTCCGTGTGCATAATGTTAATTCGTACTTACTTTACTGTTAGCATTATCAGATCATAATGTTGAGATGGGATAGACATGTAACGCAAATGATGCTAATGAGAAATGCGTACAAAATGTTGATTTTGAAGCCTGAAAGGAAGACAGCACTCGGATGACGTAGGCGTTCAGGTGGGATGATAGGAAGTGTGTTTAATGGATCCATATGGCTCATTTTGAGATTTGTGACGAGCCCTTGCGAACACGATAATGAACCTTCTGGTTCCATAAATGACGGGGAATTTATTGATTAGGTGAGCGACCATTAGCTTATCCATAGGACCTTTCTCTGTGGGATTAGTTTTAGTGGAGGTTGTATATAACAGTAGTAGAACAGCAGCCAGTAAGCTGTAACCAACTCTGAAACGTCTGCCAACTTCTAAGTCCCAGAAGAGTCATCTTCGTAATCGCCACAATGAGAATCTGAAATCTCGTCTAGGTCAAGGGTCACATTTACCATTCCTTTAGGATTAGCTGACTGCAAAGCTGTGGACGAGAACAGTCTATTGAAACGCCATGGAAATTTCAAAATGCTACTAAATTAGTCCGACTGTAGTAAACAGGTAATTTTCTTCAACAGTATTATTATTAATATTGTGGTATTTTGGGCACTGTTATTTTTTGGTTAATCTTATAACACGTAAGACTGGATCTTGGAAACGAATAGGAAATTGTCTTGTAGTCTGTCTGTGTTATTACAAGGTGTATGAGGCCTCGAGTTTGGCTTGAGGTCATAATACGAAACTTGTACGCATGTAGAAAAGATGTGTCCATGTTACCCTCTTCTTGCAAGATTCGGAATACATGAATTATTGATGCAATGACCCAGGTATGTAATTCCTTTCTTTCTATTATCATTCCCACTCATCCATTAGGATCGTAAGGCTACGCTGTGAAGTCATCCAGACGTGTTGTCACTTCTTACATAAGAATGTTGCTGTTGGCTGTCCACAGGCTGTCGAAAGAAAGGATGTCCAAACGAAAAGTAACTGGAATAGCTTAATTAATGAAATTGTTGGCTATGAATTCAACAGCCTAGGTTCAGATCCTGTTTGGAACAAATAACTTGTCCAGGTAGGCTCAGACGTTCATCAGCCTTCTGTGAAAGGTATTTTGGACTTCGTATCTGGAGATAAAGCGGCCGGAACGTGATGATCCATCACTAAATTGCATCCAGTGCCGAAACTGGAAAGCATTAAGATATAACCTGGTTCCTGTATACTCTTGTTATTCAAAAATGGTTTTAAAAAAACATTTTTGATTACATGAATTAATTCACTTTTGCCACTGATGATGACCTCTTGAGGTCGAAACGCGTTTGGCACTAGTGTCATTTATAGTGTTAATAGTTTGTTTGCTTATTTTATAGTTAACTCCTGTTTACGACCGATTTAGTTACTTTGTATTTTAACTTGGAAAATGTTACAACCCAACTCTAATTTTATTATAATTGTGGAATGTGACTCGAACCTGGGTCTGTGAGATGGCAGCAATGCCAGTGTCGAAAGTCGAAGTACATTGCGGGTTGCAGAAGCTCTCCCACTGCCCAATATCTTTCAGTACAATTAAATAGTACAGTTTCTGAACATCCTTTAGCAACAGAATGGCGAAAGTGTGGTTTTATGGGCATCTCGTCTTATGATACCTTGGAGCTCGTTGTAACAATGCTTGCCGGAAGTTCATGTGTGCTGTGTGACGTAGGTGAAGCCTTCCTTTCGGGACTCCTCCCACTTTTCTCATTAGCATCTTCTTATATGGTCTTGCATACACCAACCGCCACGTTAAAAACAATGAACTTTATGACTTCGTGAATTAAATTCATAACTACTGTGTCATTGACCGTTTGCTGCCCGTGATATGATAATTAGTGTGTGATTAATTATTTACAATTAGGATGCACTGTTTTAAATTTAAACAGCAAAGATATGAACGTTAAATAATGCAGTATAATTACAGACTTGCTGTACTTGACATAACTCTGTACAAATAGTTTACCCTGACGATATAAGACGACAATTATTTAGCTGTAGATGTACATATATAACACTGTAGAAAATGTACGCATACTATAATAATTCTAGCACTGACTTCTGATATTGTTTTATACTGCCATCTATAAACAGAGCCTCGTAACGGATCCCTCAAACTAAATCTGCAGAAACAAGCTAGGAGCTAATATTTGTCCGGATGTGACGTGTGAAAGTTTACAGTAGTTTCATATTATTTAATCAGCACGTAAGTTGGTGTTCCTCTGTGCGATGTTGTTTGTTTGCAGTCTCATTATTTGTAGAATGTAAAAACTTTATGCAGACTTTGGTCACTCGTAAGTCGTCCACTGCATTCAATCCAGCTCTGCCGTTGGCTGACGTCAGATGTATGGCGAAGAGGAGTGAATGTGGAAGAAGCCAGTAACGTAATTTGCCTTACTCTTTGAGTTCCGTTCAGAAATTCTCTTTCAGAGACTCACCATTTTTGCTTCGAAATTTATAATCAAACTAAACTCAATGTTAAGGCCATTGTCGACTGTGGGCAATTTGTTCAAAAAAAATGTTAAGAGTTGCGAGAGGTACAACTGGGACTCGTAATTTGTTTCTCCTCATGAGGTGTCCAATCAAAGTTTTTCGTTTGTTCGTCCTTGTTTGCTACGTGTGTCATAATAAATGTAGGAAGACCTTGTGTGTATGTGCGTGTACTTTGTGGGGGTAGGAAACCAGTCTAGGTCTGTAGGTTATCTGGATAGTGCGTCGCTTGCCACTAGTAGTGAAATACTCGTAGAGGTCATTTATAAATGGTACGTGAGCAGTACCTTGAGCAATAAATTGACCTCATGAGGCTTTCGTTAATTTTAAAAAGTCCGCAACCTTGGCGTCGCGAGGTTACCTCCACTATCACTTATCAAAATTTGTACACCCGCCATCATATTTCATCGTCAAGGTCACTTCTTTCTTGTTGGCCACTTCACACGCAGAAGACACGTATTCAAACCCGGGTTTGTTAATTTTGAATGGGGATTCTGTCCTTGCCTTGAAAATATCTGAAGTATCGAATGAAGATAAGGCACTCCCGCTAGTGTAAAGGTTAGTCTACTGAGTTATGACGCCATATGAACTTGTAAGTAGATACAAATCACGGAAGATCAACGTCGACACAGGTAAATAGTTTTTCTTAATTGTCATTGGTAGACATAGTAATGTGTGTGCATTTTAAATATAAACGGGTCTCATGTAATTAAAGCAGGAATCATCAACATTTTTGGGTATTGCACAACTAGGGATAGTTTATAATGTAATCCCATCGAAAAGAAAAACCGAACTCCAAATAATTGGGGAACGTCAGTTGTCAGGTGACGAATGTAAAGATGGCTGTCTTGTGGGATGTTGCGCCGTGAAGTTTGGTAAATATTGACTGACATTTTACAGGTGCTTACTGCCTTCATTATCAGACCTTTAATGAATGAATATTCCTGTCACAAATTTGGGAGGATTTACCTGTTTGAATAAAATAGAATGCTGCGGGAAATAAAAGCAAAAGAGAAGAAACAGAGAATGGAAGGACGACAAAGACAAACGAAAATTTACACTGCTTACAACAGTGTAGCGTATATACGAAAAAAAATTACTTTTGATGTGAATTGTAAATTAAATTGTATGTGGTAAACTGTTCAGTCTTTTAATGTTGCGTGTGACAGGAAACGGAAAAGTCTTGGTTTTTTACTTTGTAGCTATAAATATAAAACTTTCCACGTAAGTCCATTGAGTTCAACTATTTGCCACATGGAGGCGATGATCCCGGCAGTGCTGCCGCGTAGCGGACAAACTGGTGAACTACGTAGTCTTGTTAGCAGCATGAGTCTGAACGTGTATTAACATGAAATAGCCAAAGATTGTGTTTATACTTCGGACGTTGTTTAAGAACCGTGTCGTTGTCCGGAACGGGTTTAATGCTGTCCTCAGGTAAGTTTCTGTTTTCCTTCTGTAAAATCCCGGAATATCTTACTGATCCTCCAATTCTGGACCGTGATTTTATTTTGTGTGGTCCTGCTTGGTTATTGACGCATTTAACAACTTTCCGCTACAAATTTTATGACAGCATATGGTAGACGAGAAATGATAAGATGATCATACGCATGGCTAGAAAGTAGTCGTGTGCTGTTTTAAGGTAACTTATATTAGGATTTACCTGCAGGAACGATTGAAGCTTCCAATGTATTTTATTCAAACTTGAACACATCTACAAGCACAGTCAGAGCAGTATGACCCTTAGAAATTACACAAGTACCCCACTCTAAAATAGGAAGCTTTGTCATGTGATCGGTATGTAAATTACAGTCTAATATGTTGAACCACGAAGTTCAAGTAAGCGGATCCATGCTCCAAATTCGTGCGATATTCGAAAACTGGATTAATGCGTTTGAATTCCTTTTCATTCATGAGTACGTTCTTCACCTTATCCTGTCCTATTATCTATACGTATGGGTGTCGTGATGGATAATGCAGTATGGATCAATTGACAGTGTCACATAAAACAATCTAAGCGGATCTCCTGATGAACGTTCCCTCAGTTACCAGCGGCTTGAAATCTGTATACAGTTTAGTAAATGATACATAATCTCATGTATTGAGAAAGGGTTGTTTTACATTTCTTCACTGATTATACATTTAGCATTAAGTTTTTGAACACGTTATGTAAAGTGTTTGATTGGATCATACCTACAGATTGCAGGTGAAAGGATTTTGTTAAATGGACAGCAGTTGTATTTTGTTTTATAGTTTTCGTACTCTGACAGATAAGCTTTATTGTTATTAAATATTATAAAATTTAGTATCCTAAACAGGGCTTCGGAAAACGACTGTCACTGATAAAGAGTTACAGAATATTTACCAAAATCGTGTTGCATCATCAGAACGCAGGACAAAATCAAGGCGGATGGCATGGGCTGACCATATAGCACGATTAAGTGGAATGAGATATGTTTACAAAATTCTAGTTGGAAAATTACAAAGGATAAGAGCATGTGGTAGACATGCTAAAAGTTCGGAAGATAATATTAAAGTAAGGTGTGGTGTGTGGATTGGATCCAGCAGGCACATGATGTCCAGTAACAAGCTGTATTGAATATGTTAATTTAACTTCAGTTTCTATCGAGGGTTAGGAATGGGTACTTGTGGGTTATCGGGACACATCGCTTTAAAAATAGGTTAGGTTAGGTTAGGGGTTTTCTTATCTGTTAATTCGTTCAGTTATTTATTTCTGTCCACACACATTAACCTAACCTAACCTAACATATTTTTAAAGTGATGTGTCCCGATAACTTACAAGTGCCTAGGAATGTTTTGATTTGTTGAGCGTTTATTAGCTTCTTAAGTTCTCTTGTACGTGAAGTGCGGTCGTTAGGCTGTGCATGTAGCACAGCTGCTTGTTCATAGCGTACGTTTCTGTGTTTTCCGAAAGTCATTCAGTAACACACAGATGCGAAATGGCTGTTTCCACTTCTCTTAGTATATTCTGTTTCCCTGCGGTTTGGTATTAAATGGAACAGAAACCAAATAACACTACGAGCCAGTGGAAATTCAATTTACGTGCGCAGAATATTTCGAGGCAAAATACGTTTGGGGGTTAGGTTAGGGCGCCCAGATGTTTAACCATTCAGTTTGCACAGTTTGGTTTAAAATAACTATTAATGGGACGAATTACTTATGAAACAAAACACATTTCAAATCTGAAACCTCTATTTGACCGATGTGTATATGTGACTTTAAGGCGAGATTTGTGCACAAATGTAGGGTAAATTTATTTTGAAACTAAATGGGGAAGAAGTGTGAATACGCAGTTTCTGAAATCGATGATAGAGTTAATCTAAGTAACGTAATCTTGCACGAAATAACTCAAGAATCTCGTTATTGTCATATAAGTCAGGGTTCTCAACCTTTTACAGCCCTGGGCCACATTTGGCCTCTGTTATTGACCCGTGAGCATTAAGGTTATACACTAGGATAGTGCATTCAAACGACATGCCATTTAATTAAAAATTATACAAATAGTTGTCAAGTATATTTGTTTGCACGTCACAGTTTGTAAATAACAGAAATGTACATTAATTCTGACGTTAGTCCAGTTAGAATATTCTGCAGGCTGATTCGATAGTCCCTGTGAAACGAAACAAATAGTAGTTTGAAGACTTCTGTATTCTGGGTTGTTGCGCTGTGTAGTCTGGTAGATGCTTACCAACGTTGCAGAGGTCATGCTGCCTCCGTCATCAGGGCGATGAATCGACGCAAGAACCCAGAAGACAGAAATCTTCATACTCATCGCTGTGAAAACCTCCAATCATACAAATATTAGTTTACTGACTCGAAAGTTGGCGACAGAATTCGAACAGCTTGGCATCGAATCTTCTCCGAGTTCAAGATTCCTTGTTTTGTATTTATTAGTATTTTAAGTTCAAGAAATAAAATATAAATGCACTTGAGAAATCAAAGTGGAAGTAAAAGCTCTTGTTGTGCCAAATTTCTTTAGTAAGGCTTTCAGCTACAGCGGTGGCATATTTGGTATCGTCATTCATGCGGATTTAACATTTCATTTTCTCTATCACATTATTGCTGGAATAAGTCCAGATACAAGGGAAGAAAAATAAAAGTATCGCTTTTAAAACAAAAGAAAAGAAAAGATCGTGTGGCCATTATTTTGAGCATTGCTGCTGCTGTTGTATTTTTCTGTCTCTTTTTGTGTTTTTCTTTTTCCGTAAGGATAGAAACTTGGATAGGATGTTTCGTCTAGAGTTCATTGCGTTTTATATGCACGCTTTAAGAAGAATCTTGGTTTGGAGATATTTTGTTTGGCAGTGTAGTGGGATGAAGGATATACGGCACTTCCAGCCTACAGCTTGTTCTTTATAACTCGACTGCTTACCCGTTTTCCTGAGTGTTCTTTCTTCCAGTTGAAAAGAAAAGTGAGAAATATGTTTGTGTAAATGTTCACGTCTGTTTTATTCTTTCTTCTTTCTATCCGTATTCTATTTTTGTTTTTAAGAAGATGAAGGTAGCGGATCAATGAACTGAAACTTTGCAGGAAATTTATTGTAAAAATAGTGAAACGAGAAGGAGTTTGGAAATATTTCTGTGTTTCGTGTATTCGAGGAGATTCGCTTTTCTGTGTGAAAGCTACAGTTTTTTTTAAAAAAATGTACTACCTTATAGTCCTTGTGCAGGTTGTCTAAAAACAGATTCAGTTTTCTAGACTCAGTGTTGATAAGTGTAATATTGTAGCGGGCTAAATGAAAACTTTTAACTTGCATTAAAACATCTATGAATGAAATAGTTAGTTGGCATTTGCTTCATAAAATAGGTACATAAAATTAAATGTCATAATTCTGGCTTGAATTTTGTGTAGAATAGCACTTCGATCGATTTCCCTCGTGAGTGTTCCTTTACATGTTTTCATACCTGAGCATCGGGAAAATAAACATGTAGGGAGAATATGTAATGGCTACATCGTATATCGGAGCAGAGGAGAGAGATTACATGGCTGTCCTTAGCCGTGATTCCGTGCAAGAATAGTTCTGAAAGATGCATGTTGCTGAAACGGTCGTGGCCCATTTTAAAATACTGTTATAGATCAATAGTCTTCGATATCTGAGCAGCGTCTCAAGGAGAACTGTACTGCAAAGGATAGTAAAATAAAAGAGCCGTGTTAATAACAGCACTAACACTCTTCTGTAAGCATCATTATGTGCTGTATTTGCATACGCGTAACACAAGCTGTCTAAGACGTTAACACTTGAGCTTTTCAAAACAATCCCAATATTTATGTGTGGAAAACCAATATAAGTGTTTACATTTTTGAACACACTGTATTTTTCGTTGGCATTGTTTTAAGTACGTTCATTTGCTTCTGTATTATAAATATTGCCCATTCATTTGTTTTCAGTGCATTCAGAAAGCAATAGAGGAACGCGAGGCTCAGCTATCAGAACTTGAGGCCATATTCGGACATCTTCAGGAGCATCGTGGGTTGCAGAACTACCAGGATACCTCGTCACCACGGTGAGTGACTGGATTTGTTAATACAACTTGGGGCGTAATCGTCATATGTTTAGCTTTAACGCTGCAAACAACATTTTAGCTTTACTACATGTATTTTAATCTGGTATCCGACTGTTCCGAATTTTAAATTATATATATGGAGATGTAATATTTTGTTTTAATGTAGTATAGTCTGTCCAGTTGCAAGGCAATAAACATAATATGGTTGTTCTCGTCAGCAAAACGTGGAACATTTCTAAGATCTTGATAGTTATATTTACAGGTGTAACGTTCTCTTACTAGTGACAATTGTACGGCATTGAATAAACCTGGCTAGATTTTGTATTTGGATTTATGACTGTTTGCAACTTCATAGTCAGACTTAAACATCCATGGTCCGTATTTCTTCTCTTTTAGAAGACACAATTTTTATCTTTGTTCAACACAATTTCAATGCAGGCTTTAGGAACCCAATTTGGGACGACTTAGTGCTCCACTCTTGTATCTATTGGCCAATCGGGTAAAGGATTTGAGCGCTAAATCCCACCCTCCCTACTTACACACATGAACACGCTCATACAGAAGCATTGAAGACCCACCATTCAGAAAAGGCCTATAGCTTTCATTATTTCGAACTTAGTAAGGGCACTGCTGTATATTGAGGTTCTGATTGTAGGTCTATATCAGAATAAAATGCATATTTTCCTTTCTGCATGGGTACATTGCTTTACTCAATATAACCTATGGTGTTTCTACCATGTTTTCCGATTTTAAAAGTTGGAATGTCATTGTAAACGTGTTGCGGGATATTTGAATAATAATAATAATGATACAAGAATCATAAAATAATAGAGAACTTTTCGATAAAATATACTTTATTTCCTGAAATTGGAAGAAGTTTTTTTTTGTAAACGATATAAATAAAATTATTCAGAATGGAATTATGCTACTTTATAAATAATAGATACGACATTCAGTACAAATAAACACTAACATTTTTATTTGGCGAAGAAATGTATTATGTAATTTTGATCTCGAACTATCTCGTATTCGTCTGTTAGTCGATTGAATTTGGAGATAGATCGTATTGCTTTGAATGTGTTACGATTTTAATTAAATTAATATTTGGGTTCTATGAAAAATGAAGCACAACTTCTGTAGTAAAATGTAGTTAAATAGTTTCCTTGAAGGACTGTGTACAGTCCTGTGCACCGCGAAACTGGCGTATGGCGCGAAACCACTTAGCTGCTTCGTGTGTGGTCATTGTCCTCAGTTTAATATTGTAAATGTCGTGTAACTAAGATTAGATCAGGCAATGGTGCCAGTAGATGACACGTTGTAACTTGTGTGTCTCCCATTAAATGGGTTTTAGAATTCGCCTTTGAATTTCGTGAATTATGTAATTTCTAACTTTATTAATTTTTGCCCGTGTCTGGTTCAGTTTTAATAAATCCCTGCAGTAAGTTCTTTAGGAGCTTGATTCTCGTTGAGCTTATAAACAATTCTCCTCCCTTTATGTAACCCGAAGATTCATTACCGTGTTGACAAAAATCGACATTGGTACATATCCTATTTATTATGTAGCAGACTGGAATATTTATCAGCAGGGGCCGAAATGTAAACAAAATCCTATCGAACTTCACTGAGTCACGATGGCACAGTTACCATCTCTTGGGAGTCATTACTACGAGCTTCGATATTAAACTGTAACTAAAATATTATACTAAGAAATATTTTAAGAACAGCGTAAAACACTTTAGTTCTTTGGTCTGGAAGCAAAAATGTCAGAAAAACCATAACACTTTTACTGATTTTCAGTTTCTTTTTCGTAGTAGTCAGAAGAAACCTATTTCGTTCGTAAATTTTAAAATCCCGTATATAGTTGGGCCAGTTATTTGTTTATGTGCTCGTTTCGAACTGGACGCCGCAATTAGTTCGTATGTGATAATGCACGTGGTGATGAAGGGGTCGCTTGCCAGTGTTCGTACGCCTGTGTACGGTCATGACTTGTATTACAGAGTCTCACTGCGTTGCATATGAGAAACACTTCTGCCGACTTCTTATGGAATCGATGATTATGTACGGCGGCTTGAAAAAGATGCATGGCTGAACGAAGCACCATGCCCTATTTTCTAACATATGTCTGCACGGTCCATTTTCTAAGCCTTGTTTCCTTGTATTTCCTTTTATTGTGACGATGGGGTGAGACTATGTCTCACTGGAACTGCGGTCGCTAACGGGTTCATTTTTCCTCCCCCAGATGACGTATGGGTGAATATATAGCACTAACAAAATACTTACCTTTTTGGGTTACGTGACTTTTGACACAATCTAAGACGAGGACTGACCAGTACACTTTAAATTGTTAGAAATGAAAGACAAATCCACAACACATCTTGGGAGTTTACAGTTAAGGCCACATTACAGATGGAGCCGACGTTACACATGTTTAATTCCAGTAACATTTCATTGATACTGACACAGTCCGCTCTGAATCTTGACGTTTTCGTTAAATCAATTTGTAAGTGCTCTCTTTAAATAATATAATGTCTGAGAGGTTTAGTGTAATGGCATTCGATTGTTTTCTGAAAGAGTTTACATCTCCAGCTTTATTAACCATCATTATATGTTACGTAAAGCGCGTGAAATGAGGATGGTATAAGAGAGGGGGGGTTGCGAATATTTGATTTATGACGGCGATGCACAAAACAGACATACAGACAGGCTTTATCGGCCCCACGCTGTTTCTACTCAAGGGAACAAAAAAAATTGAACATTAATTTTCCTGTCTTCGAAGGGGGTAAGAAGGAGACGCCGAAAAAAGGAAGATTACTTCTCCTCTTGTTCTTTCTCCACACTTTTCCTGCTTCAGATCTTCTCTCTTTTCTCCTTTCGGTTATTTCTTCAGATCTGGCTCTAAAATGTTTCGATTGCAAGTTGCTGGATTTCTTCACAGCCCACCGTCTGTTATCGCCAGGTTATGTAACGCGCAAAAGTTGTCAGAATTTATCACAAAAAAAAAACTCGGGGGATAAATGAGAAAATTTGAAATGGTCTAAGAGTTACAATACCAACTGCTAAATATCGCGTTATAATTTTCTTACTCGGGACGTTTTATTCGGGAAGTAAGATGTTCAATCGAACACAGAAACAGCGTTTCCCAGCCAAAATTTTCAGTCTTCTGTAGTGAATGTAACTGCTTATACAATCCTTCCACCTTCCCATTATTAATCATTGCATGTTCTGTGAACTGACTGGCGATGTAATCTCCGGAGCCGAAAGAAATATAAAAAGATGGATGGGCCAAAGGAGACGTCATTGGATCTAATCCTTGAAGCCGATCAAAATCTCTGCGGTTAGTGAAGTGCGGTTAGGGAAATCAACGAACAAGTTTACCGAAAACTGAAGTAAGTGGTAGCTAACGCGAATTTGGAAGGTCCTTGCATCTAATTCGCCTTTAATTTCCTCCACACGCAATTCCTGTCAGTACCAGACTGACAGTGAGAGTAAGAAAACACTACCTCTATGCATATTTTTCAAGTCACTGTTCATAATGATAGACCCCTTAACATTAATCAGAAAAAAGAAACAGTTTAATCGGCCGATAGGCTGTAGGGAACCGGTTCACATGTCTCAGCACGCGGTCTGGTTGGTGACTGTTTTGAACACGGAAATTAACATTCCGATTCCATAAAATTTTGGGAATATCTTTAACAGCTGAGCGACTATCAGTTTTCCAGCAAGGATTATTCTCCAAGCAGTGACGTTCGACAAGACGTTTTATACAATGGATATGTGGCGTTAAGAAAGCCTGGTAAAAGGAATTAAGTGATGAAAGTGTCTCCCTTCTGGGTGTTGTAAAAAGCTTACTCTATCAGATTTGGTTAATATAAAAAAGAGTTTTAGAAGTTTGGGGAATATATTACAGTTTAACTAAATAGTTGCGCGAGCAGGGTTAACTTCTGGAGATGTTTTAGAAAATCTGACTGACTCGATAGAGCGGAGCTCTTGTCGAAAATCTGGCAGTACGCTCAGCTAATCAAGAAGTTCCTCACCTTTTTGTGAAACTCGTAGAGGAGGAAGATAAATGTGATTTATAATTTCCCGCGTTGATTAACTAAGATACATTTTAAAATTGTTTTTTTCCATTTACGCAGAATAGTGTCTTCCCTTTAGATTTTACAACATAAATATTGTGGTCCATCGAACTGTGGCTGGGCGGGGCTAACATCTCTCCACAAGAAGCCTTCGTGGTTAAAAAATTGTTGATACTAATGATAAGAAATATAAACTCCCTGAGATTTAAAAGGTCACTTGTATTCCAACTTGTTTGTGATAAAAATTACATCATTCATAAAAAATGTTCTTCCAGTAGAACTGTTTTCGTTACAAATAGATGTGACCATATCGTCGTAGATATTTTTATGGTCGGGGGAATCTGTAAATGTGATCCCGACATAAGTAGCTGTTATGTTATGGAAGCTTCAGATACGTGAACTGAACCACAAACTCTAGGACGTGTGTGAAATGAGTGACCTTATCTGAGTTCGAAATCTTCCAAAGTCGAAATCAAGAACACGTGTCACAGACGCAAGAACGCCCGAACTGAAAATTGCCTCTTTTTTCAGTAAGTCTTACTTGTATTTCTATTCGGTTTTACTCTTTGCTTTTTTATTGAATCCCTGTAAATCAGAAACGAACGAAACCCAAGAGCAGACCACAGATTTAAGCACGTTGGCTCCAAGAACCCGACCCATCACACTACATTTGCTCTAACAGAAGAGCCATCTCCAGGGATTCCACTGGCAAATACAGCCAATCACCTCCAACCTCTTCAGAAAGCAAGCAGCTTCCTCTAACGTACAAGCAGTCCTTCCTCCATATTAGCCCTTGCTTGTATTTTTCCTTGTGTCAGCTGTTTCTTTTCCGTCTTTCTACTTCAACTGTCGTGCGAATCGTATTTATTTTAGGCATGCCTTTTCAGTTTATTTCTATTCGTTAGATTTTGTTGATGGCCTATT